TACAAGGGCAATGTGTAAAGGGTTAGGCAAGAAGGCGGGATGGAAACAGGAAACAGAAGAAGTAGGAAAAGCAATGGAGCGCTGAAGAGATTGTAATGTTAATTGTAATCGTGAAACAAAATGCATAGTAAATTGTTCAATGTAAAACTGGAAATCTGCTCTGTAACCCTCGCCTAATTCACAAGTTTGAAAATCAATATAATTTTATATGGATTACACATAGAAATTATATTATAGATGTATCAGTTAAATTAAAGGAAGCATTCAAATCGCAGTAAAAGAAATTAAGGCATAAAACTGGAGGGGGTCACATAGTTTGCCGTTCTGAGGAAACAGAGACTCGTGAAAATTGTAGCACACAAATGTGTCCATGTGCAGGTGTGGTCTTCTTCGGCAGAGAACTATAGATCCCAGGTGGACCCAGGGCATATCCCGGTGAGGGCCAGCCTCAACATGTGGCCCACTTGCTCCTTCCCATCTTATAAAAGTCACCGTTTAAGCAAAATTCCTCCTCAGAAACAGACTGCTAGTTAACATGTACACTGGTCTTTAAGCTCATGCACACATCAAGAATGGGAGGCGAGCATGATTTCCAGGAGGCCCACGATAGCAATGATTTGGCTCCAGACTCCCTCTACTGTCTCTGCAATAACAAACAAACATTTTGTGGCACCCTTATGACTGGCTTCCAACATTTCTTGTGGTCAAAGCAAACACAATCTTGAGTAACTCTAAAGAATAACCTTAATATGGTAAGCGGGAAGTTCAATACTTACCAGAAAATTAATAAAACATGATAAACTAGGTGATGAAATGTTTTTATAGGTAGAACTGTATGAAGTTGTCATTAGTTGAGCTTGCAGATCCACAAATTAGTAATTTCATATGGTTTAACTTAATGCATGAAAATACAATTGTCAAAGAATAGAGAGTGTGGTGTGTGTATGTGGTGTGTATGTGCGCATGTGTGTGTGTGTGTGTGTGTGTACACGCACGCGCCGCGCATGTCTGTTTGGGGAGTAGTTTCTGCTTTTAGTTAATATGAAATTCCCTAAATACACTGGTCAGTTTACATGATGTTTCTTAACCAAGGTTACTAAGTCCAGTGCCTTATAGGAATGTGTCTGTTGTGATTTGGGTTTGAGTAGAAAAATAAATGCCTAAAGGTTAAAAAATCCTGAGGTTACCAAGTGTTTCACACAGGAAGATAAATGAAAGAAATGTAGAACAGCCATATGGTGACAAGGAGAAAGCTGGAAATGAAATAGTTAACATTTAACCCAGAGAGGAGGAAGTGGGCAATTTGCATAGCCTTCAAATACTCTCACCCAATTGACAAAGCAGCAGACCCTGGAAAGAACTGGAGGTCCAAGCCAAAGCCGCACTCTTTAGTAACTCCTGAGAAAGCAGCTTTCGGGCAAGTTCACACTTGACACAAATTAAATATTAATTCGACAGTTGATCGTTTTCCAAAAAGTTAATATATCACAGCTCAGAATTTTTAATTTCTCAAGTTTGCCTTGAAGACTGAAGAATGCTTTGTGAAGTTGTTTTCATAGTCCTAGGAATTCAATCTAAGAACAACAGGTACTATCAGAGATTTCTTTACAGAGATGTTCATTGAAGCCTTCTTTTTATAGCTGCTGCTCTCCAGTCTGTTTTATGCCTAGCATAGTCTCGTATATTGTAAGTGCCTATAGCATACAGCCTCATACATTGTAAGTGCCCATAGCATAGAGCCTCATACATTGTAAGTCCCTATAGCATAGAGCCTCGTATATTGTAAGTGCCCATAGCATAGAGTCTCATACATTGTAAGTCCCTATAGCATAGAGCCTCATATATTGTAAGTGCCCATAGCATAGAGTCTCATACATTGTAAGTCCCTATAGCATACAGCCTCATACATTGTAAGTGCCCATAGCATAGAGCCTCATACATTGTAAGTGCCCATAGCATAGAGCCTCATACATTGTTAAGTCCCTATAGCATAGAGCCTCATACATTGTAAGTGCCCATAGCATAGAGTCTCATATATTGTAAGTCCCTATAGCATAGAGCCTCGTATATTGTAAGTCCCTATAGCATAGAGCCTTCATATATTGTAAGTGCCCGTGGCATAGAGCCTCGTATATTGTAAGTGCCCATGGCATAGAGCCTTCATATATTGTAAGCACCCCATAAATATGTTGGGAATCATGAATTACGAAATAAAAATTGGATACTTCCCAACTGAGGACTGATTAAACCAAGATAAATTGTGGTTGTGTTTCTCTGCGTGTTGCAGACGATCTCTCGTAAGCACGCAACACATTGCTTTTATCATTAGCAAAACACTGATGTGTTTTGTAAATATTTTGATATGCTGCTTTGCTGATATTCAGATGTCTAACAAATTTTGTACATGAAAAATCGTGTTTAAGAAAGAAAGCTGATTGTAGGTGACTTAAAATTTGAAGTTGTATCTACTCCCCCCCCCCACCCACCATCAGAACCAACTCTTGATAACATATCCAAGGGTCTGAATGCTCAGTGGTTTAAGGTATGGTCTATCTTTGGATACCACAGCAATCCTGCCTACAAGTTGTTACAGTGAGTAAACTATGTCAAAAGTTGAACAAATGAAGATAAAATGTAGGCTACTTTTCAACAGATAAAAGTAATATGACCACAATGAATTCAAATAGGCATTAGACTGGACACTACTTATCTTTAATCCTTACAGGGAGATTGAAAATAGCTTCTTTTATTCGCATTGCTATGGCTTTTGTTGGATGACAGCCACCAGGGGATTCCTCTTCATGGGGACCCCAGGTGTGCTCCACAGGGTTTTCAAGGAAGCAGGTGGCCAGATCTGTCTTTGGAAGCCCTTCTGGGAGAATTCAAACAGCCAGCTTTGGGGGTCTCAAGTGCTTAACTGTTTATTCCATCCAGGAACTCCATTTACTCACATATATAATATTTCATCCATAGTAATATTAATAATTCCTGACCAAAGAAAACCCATTACCTATTCTAACTCACCCTATATAGGATTTCTGAGACTGTAACTCTTTCTAAGCAGATTAGCAGCCCAAAGCCTAGCCCACCAGCACTCCCAGGGTTCCGAATAATAATAAGAGCTAAGATTTATTAATTAAATTGTCAAGTCCAGGCTCTGTACCCAGACTGTTACTTATTTTCTCTCATTTCATATTCTGAATCACAGAAGCAAGTAGTGTGGAAAATTCTATTCCCTTTTTGCACTCGAAGGAGCCCTGGTGGCATAATGGTTAGTGCTGGGCTGCTAACCACAACATCAGCCGTTCAAAGCCACCAGCAGCCACTGTGAGGGAGAAACACGAGGCTTTCTGCTCCAGTAATGAATTACAGTTTCCAGAACTCACAGGTCAGTTCTGCTCCGCCCTATGTGTCACTTTGAGTCGCATTCCACTCGATGGCAGTCAGTTTGAGTTTGTTTGTTTGTTGGGATTGCCCTTGAGGACCCTGAGAAGGTGGAAGCTCTCAACTCACTGCCACCGGGTTGATCCTGACTCATAACCACTCCTCTGTAATTCATTACTGGAGCAGAAAGCCTCGTGTTTCTCCCTCACAGTGGCTGCTGGTGGCTTTGAACGGCTGATGTTGTGGTTAGCAGCCCAGCACTAACCATTATGCCACCAGGGCTCCTTCGAGTGCAAAAAGGGAATAGAATTTTCCACACTACTTGCTTCTGTGATTCAGAATATGAAATGTGGAGAAATTATTTTTATTCTCCAAAGTCATTGATCCATCTTGCTGTTGCTTTCAGGACGAATAGTGAAAACATTACATCCTAAAAAGTGGATGTGAGGTCTTCATTTGATTCTCTGTGCTTTTGTGGAGGAAAAGAGGGGTAGAAAGAGGTACCAAGAAGAGGTTTAAAAAAAAAAAGGAATAGGTTTTATTCTGGGGTTTTCTTACATCCCCTGGGAGTGGACACGGAAACAGGACCAAACACCCAGAAAGGTTAAATAGAGATTATACCTCCTTATCATGGAGCTACTGAGATTCAAATTCAGATTTGATTCAACAAAAGGGTCCCCCATAGAAAACGGGTTGCCTAGCAACAAATCGATCCTAGCGACCTCCATTGCCCAAAGAGAGAAAAACAATTCCCTCTTAGAAGTCAGGCTTGAGGGGCAATTAGAATTTTCCAGTCGAAAATCTGTCTCCCCCGCCCCCACCCCCTTTTGTGACAAAAGCAATTTATTTCAGCAAAGGCGGCGGCCATTAGCCAGGATCAACTTCACGTCCTCGACTACCGGGTTAACAATCCCTGCGCGAAACGAGCCTGCACCCGTCGCGGGACGGCGGCAGAGGCGCCTCTCTGGCTACCATCACGCGAATTATTCCTGGGGAGACTGGGTAGCCCAGAGACACCCCGCAGCCCCCGGAAACCGACGATCCTGGGCCTCCCTCAGGTTGGGGAGCCACGCTCGGCGTCGCTCGTCCACATCCAAGAACCCCAGCCCCCACCCAAGTTTAAAACGGCACACCCTGCCCCGGCCCCTCTCCCGGCCAAGAGGATCAGGTATGGACACGAGCATCTCCATCCCCTTCCCGTCGGTCTTTCTCGAAGTAATCCGCGGCTCTGCGGACGCGCGCCCGAGGATCTACGTCCCCAAGTGTGAGCGCGGCGGGCACTGGCGGGCCACTGGGCTCCTTCCCCCCGCCCACCCGC